TCTGAAAGAGAAAAATGAAAAGGCATTCAAATAGAAACCACATTTTATGTCACTTAATGATAGAAAAGTTATGACGCTTTGCTTTGTCCTTTGTTGTATCAAAATGATATACTTACAACAGTTCCAGGAAAGGACTTTTCATTGTATAAAGGTGAGGGTTTTGTTAGGAGAACATTTTGCTGGCAGACACGGTGGTGTGTGCCTAGAATTCAGGACACTGCGGCAGGCAACCCTGACTTGGAAGCCACGGTGGGCTACCTTAGATCCTGACTCAAAACAGCAACAACGAAGTTCTTCTCTTTGGTTGTTATTCTGGTCAGAGCTGAAGATCACAGTTGCGGGTTAATCAATCTTAAACAAGCTCCTGCAGGGAACTGTTGAAAGGCGTGGTGTGTGCGCAGGACACCCCAAGACCCACGTTCTCAGCACAAAGGGAGGGGAATAAGAGACAAAGGCAGGATGTAGAGGAAGAGGGAAAAGGGAGAAGGTGAAGGATATTTGCCCCAGAGGGACACACAACTGCCTCTGGATAGAGAAGGGACAGGACAGGTGTGCCCCACAGGCAAATGACAGTTCATACAGGAAAATGGAGACACCATGTTAGGATGAGGAGTTTGATTTTGATTGGACAGGTTAATTAGGGTGGCCAGAAGGAGTCTTTTGATTGCTGGGCTTAAATACTTTGATGGTTGGGGCTTGGTGGTCCAGCCTCAGAGGGGAGGAAGTGGCCAAATAAAGGAATGGATGTCGGTGTCTAGCTTTAGGAAGGTGATCTATTTTTAGCAAGGCAGAGGGAATAGGAGAAGGGGAAGGCTTACAGGGCCATGCTTGCCCTGCCAGAGGCCCTTCAGATTGCCGTTTGCAGTGCACAAATAAGTTAAAAAGGACAGATGAGGCATTTAAGGGAAGCCTTACTGGGAGGGTTTGGGAACGTATTTCTCACCAGATAGAAAGAAGCTGGTACCAGGTGGTGGTGGCGCACACCTTTAGTCCCAGCACTGGGGAGGCAGAGGCGGGCGGATCTCTGTGAGTTCCAGGCCAGCCTGGCAATTAATGTGGCTGTGAAGTGAGGGTTGCCCAGCCTACTGCAGGGACAAGAGAGAGAGTTGAAAATGGTGGACAAGAGTACAGACACCCTAAAAATGTTAGGCTTTTGTGAGAACGGTCAGCTCTTTTGAAAATGGAAGGTGGAAGTCTTTGTTTTAATTGGAGTCACATAGTTGAGGGTCTAAAGATTCCCTCATTTTTTTTTCTATGCAGTTGCTCAATTTCAAGGCACTTTGCCCTAAATGATGGCTAATGGGCCTGCTTCCAACCTTTTCTCCAAGTGCTGCTATGACTTTTCCTCCCCTACAATTCCAGCTGATCATACTTCATTAAAACGTTCTTCTGTAGAACCCACTTAATTTGTTAGGGGTTATGAAGAAAGAGACTATTACTCCAGCTAACATCCCTGGACGACGTGAACCTGTGTGACGGGGAGGCATTGCCGAGGGCCCTGTCTCGTATTCTTGCTCAGGCCATAACTAGGATTTGATCTCTTTGACAGAGACATCCCGTGGAAGATTACTCAACTCCGTTCCAGAAGCCAAGGCCAGGACATCCCAGCTAACTTATCTTAGCTCCTGTTAAACTGACAGTGCCCCTGTAGCTGCAGAGCCAGATACCAGGATGTGGGGTTTGCCTTTAAAAAGCCCCTTGGTCTAAATGCTTGGGGCTATACTTAGGTCATGACTATCTGAGTATAATCATCTCAGCCTGCTAGAATAAAGATTTTTAATTAACTATAAACTGTGTCTGAGTGCTCTTCTCTGGTGGGCTCCCCACTGCATTTTGGAGGCCCCAGTAAGAGACTGGATGTAGACACTTAGGGCCTCTGGACCCCAGGAGTGGGAAAAAGTGCACAGGGTAGGGACAACTCTTAGCAAGTGTGCACCCTGAGAGGCCCCAAGAAAATCCTGTGTCACCCAGAAGAGAGAAGAAGGAAATTGAAAAGTCATCTGGACTGACTGCTTGGAATTAAGTCTGGTCTATTATGTGTGGCTAGGAAACAAGTCGTCAGACATGCCCATAGATCCTGTGTGAGAAATCTCCCGACTCCCCTAGTCTGTTCCGGTGTCTGAACGTGTGGCGGCCACTGCGGTTTGTCTTTTCCATGTCTCTCTCCGTATGACTGTGCCTACCCTACTCAGGGAGTGTGTTTCTCTCTGTGTGTTTCTCTGGTCAGTTCTGTTGGTTGGAGAAACAGATCTGAACTGGAAGGGAGACTGAGCTGTCCCCAAAACACAGCCACCAAAAAGGGGATTCCCCGGCAGCCAGAGGCAATAGAACCACACAGGAAGTGAGCGGTCCCAGAACCAGTGAGTGTGAAACCAGAACAGGCACCACATTGTTGTGTGTTGTTTTTGTTCCCGTACCTTACAAGAACAAGCCTAAAGTATCCTGAAAAACTGTGTTTTTTTTTTTTTTTTTTTTTTTTTTTTTTAACCTATGCTGCACTCCTGAACCTGGGATACACAACTGTCCTTCCGCCTTATGAAAATGTCTCTTCCCAGAGACCTGGATGACTCCCCTCCCACACGATGGATTCTGGCATTTTTCCATCACACAGGCAGCCCCGAGCACCAGCCCCCCTCCCACTTCTGTCCAGGTGCTAACAGCCCGCTATCTCAACAGCTGTTCTACCCTAACCCTTCCCCGTAAAAGGGACCTCAAAAGGCAGTGAGGGGCTGCTCTCTGAAACCCCGACTTAGCAGGAGGCAATCCGCTGCTGGGTCCCATGTGCACTTCTGAAAATGGCTTGCTTTAATCAGTCAGCCATGGAACCCCTCCCCCCCCCCCCAGGTCTAATGCGAGGCCTCTCCAGTCCTGGTAACCCAGTTTACTGGGCTGCAGAGATTACACCCTGGGGCGAGATTGACTGGAGAAATGAAAACTGGCCAAACAGGTAACAAGGATGGTGGGTGCTGCCAGATGGCAGACTTATCCTTCTCTTGGATCTGGGAAGGTGACTTAGGTCATCCTATGTGGGGTGGGAAAGGTCGCTAAGGACAAGGCCAGATGGGCTTGGACTCAAACCCCTTAAAGACAAAGATGAAAATGCTCAGAGTTTACTAACTTAGGAGACACAAATCCCCGTCAGCCCCAAACCTGGACAGGGGAATCTCAGAAAAACCACAGACAGGGAAACTATCTTTAGAGTTGATCTCTACTGTCTCATGTCCCTTCCGGGGACATTATGGGTCTAGAGATGGGACAGGGGTCAGTAAATCAGGTTGTAGAGAAGCCTGGCTAGAAAAATGCCTTTAGGAATTACACTTTTATGCATCCTCTACCAAGGATAAGGTACCTACAGCATGCCCTCAAATCACCTGGTTTGTTTGTAGTAATGGACTGACTAAACATACCTCCTCTGATTCAATGGAAAGCCACACCCCCATTCTCTGTATACTGTTCTGTTATCCTCCAGGTATATATGCCTATAACAGAGAAGAGCGGACAGCTCATACTGGCCTTGGGTAAATGTTAATAAAGGTCAAATGGACCCCAGTTCTGGAAATCTGGAAATCGAAACCTTGGGGGACTCAGTTCCCAGATAGACTAAATACTTAGGTCATTTGAAGAATTCCATTTCCAGGCTGGAGAGCCAAGTTAATTCCCTCACAGAGGTAGTTCTACATTACTGAAGGAAGCTGTATCCTCTTTTGTATTGAATGGAGCGGGGGGGGGGGGGTAGGTGAGGGAGAGGCTTTTCATGGCCTTGGGATAATTTTATTTCCATGTCAACCAACCAGGGGTAAGTTGGGGGTTGGGGTAAGGGTTAGACAATTGGTATCAGTTATGGCTGATCACCTTACTGCCAGCATTAGCTAGACTGTTGAGTGTTATTCTGGTCAGGCTCATGCTGGGACCCCGTGTCCTCAACCGCATGGCCTACTACATCAGAGAATAATCTCAGTTAAGTTACTGGTCCTCAGGACCAACTGTGCTACCACCTCGCAGCTGGACCTCACAAGTCTTATCAGTTAGCCCGAAAAGACTCGGTCCACTACTTCAGGCCTTCTAACCTGTGGAACGCAGCAGCGGGCCTTGTAGAGAACAAGGTTTTACTGGGTAGGGGGATTAAAGCCCTTGCATAAACAGCATAAAAGCTGCAAGAAGTAAAAGGTTCGAATTCTCAGCACTACACACAAGTTTTCACAGTAGGTAAAGACATGCGTGGCGGTAATATGGCTGCAGGTAGGAGTCCCCTACCCGGCCCTTCTGGCAGGGTGGTCACTGTTAACTGCTTTCCTTAAACAAAGAACAGTTAAACAAACGTGCGATCGCCCCGGCTTCGGGACTCGGGGCTAAGCACCAGGTTCGGAGGGGGCAGGCGCGATGCCCGCGCAGACTTAGCCACGGCGGGATGATGCACGCGGGCCGGCATGAACTCCAGCCCGAGACCCCGACCAGCTGCAAACGCTAAAACTTTACAACGTCACAAAAACTCAGAAGCGCGGACTACTCCAGCGTGGGGGGTGGCAGCCAGGGAGCGCGCGCGGGAGGAGCTGCGCCTGCGCGCGCCAGCCCGCCCCGCCCCCGGCCCCGCCCCCCGCGCCCGCGCCGCCACGCGCTAATGGCAACAAACCCCTCCTAGGCATCCCCCGAACGCTAACCATCTTCCAGCAGATTCCACGCTCCCGGGGCAGGCTCGCCTAGCGAGCGCCTGGCGCCCGGGGGCATTGTGGGAAAGCGCCGCGGCGGCCACGTGACGCGCGCCCACCAACCGGCGCGCAGACCGCACTTTGGCTGTCGGCCGGCTCGGCCCCGCCCCTCGGCGCGCGAGGGGAGGCGGGGCCCGGGGGCGGGGCCCGAGCCGGCGGAGTGACGGGCCGGCGGACCTATTGGAGGACGCGAGCTAGGGCGCCTGCGGGCGCGGTGGGCCTGGCAGCCAATGGGAGCTGGGGGCGGTCCGGCCCTGGCGGGGCGGGGCGGGAGGGAGGAGGGAGGAGGGGGCGGGCTCCAATCCGGTTCCATCCGGTTCTCCCACCGCCCCCGCGGCGGGTCGCAGCATTTCGCGCGCGGTGGAGGCCAGGCAGCGCAGCTCCGCGACGGGTCCGGCATCGCACGCGCCTCCCGCCCAGCGCCGCCACGATGCCCAAGAGGAAGGTGAGCGCGGCGGCGAGGGGTGCGGGCCTGGCGCGGGTGCGGGCCCCGCAGCGGCCGGGGGTGCGGGCGGGCGGGCGGGCGGCGGGAGGCCGGGCGTGACGTCACGCGGCCGCATTGTTCTCCCCGCAGGTCAGCGCGGATGGAGCGGCGAAGGCGGAGGTGAGCGCGGGCCTCGGGCGGGCAGGGCCGGGGGGACGGGCGGGGGTGTCGCTCGCCGCGTCCGTCGTTAACGCCGCGTTTCCTCTCCGCAGCCCAAGCGCCGCTCCGCGAGGCTGTCGGCCGTAAGTACCGCGGGCCGGGAGTCTGCAGGGGCGGGCGGGAGCGGGAGAGCCGGGGGCCGGGGGTCTGCAGGGGCGGGCGGGAGCGGGAGAGCCGGGGTCTGCAGGGGCGGGAGCGGGCGAGCCGGGGTCTGCAGGGGCGGGAGCGGGCGAGCCGGGGTCTGCAGGGGCGGGCGGGAGCGGGCGAGCCGGGGGTCTGCAGGGGCGGGCGGGAGCGGGCGAGCCGGGGGTCTGCAGGGGCGGGCGGGAGCGGGCGGGCCGGGGTCTGCAGGGGCGGGCGGGAGAGCCGGGGGCCGGGGGTCTGCAGGGGCGGGCGAGCCTGCAGGGGGTCTGCAGGGCCGGGAGTCTGCAGAGCCACTCTCTCACCTTTTGGTTTTCCCCCTCCCCCAGAAGCCCGCCCCTGCCAAGGTGGACGCGAAGCCAAAAAAGGCTGCGGGGAAGGTAGGTTCCTAAACGGATGTCCAGGCGTCCAGGCAGGCCGCTTAGGTGAAGTGTTGTAAGTGGCTTCTAGAAGGTGGTTGGGGCGGGGCGTCTGGGTGCATCCCGGGCAGCTAAGAGCATTTGGTTTTTGCAGAGTCCAGTTCCCAGCACCCACGGGGCGGGTCGCAAGCATGCGTAACTCCATCTTTAAGAGGTGTCAGTCATACCCTCTTCTGACTTCCAGCACCAGGTACATGCTGTGCACCTACACTCATATACAAATACAGACCTTTTTCAGAAACTCGGAGGAATATGGTGAGCTGGAGGGATGACTCACTGGTTAAGCACGCACACTGATTTCTTTTTTTTCTCTTACAGAAGGGACCTGGGTCTGTTCAAGTGACAGATAACCCCAGGGGATAAATAAGGTCTGATAACCTCTTCTGGCCTCTGAAGGCTCAGCCCGAACTTGCACAGACGCGTTCACGTCATTTAAGAGATTTTTTTTTCTTACAAGATAGGGTTTCTCTATATGATAGCCCTGGCTGTCCTGTATATCAGGCCTACCTCAAACTCACTGAGATCCTCCTGCCTCTGCCTCGAAAGTGCTGGGATTAAAGACACGTGCCATCCCACCCTGAGCCTTGCATTTTGTTTTTTAAGAACATTTTGTAAACCTGAATAATTACTGAGTTGTTTCCCCAATACTGAGTGGATGATTTAAGTGTGGATGAATATTTTTCCTGCATGTATGTGGATCACGGAGGTCAGAAGAGGACCTAACAAGTTTTGAGCCAAGTGAGTTGTGGGAATTGAACCTAGATTCTCTGGAAGAGCACCACGGTCTCTGCCCAGTCCCAGTCTGTGGTCTCTTCAAACATATCGTCAGGATGTGGTAATACGAGCTAAGACCTTGATGCTCGAAAACCGTGGGAATCCCGACATCAATCAGGTGTACAGTTCTCTGGTGCTTCCCCCCTATTTTCTAGGTGTACACTATTTAGCTTTTTGTTTTCTTTTTTTGTTGTTGAGATGGGATTTCTCTTCCAAACCGTCCTGGCTGACCTGGAACCCACTCTGTGGTAGTTCAGGCTAGCCTCAAACTTGTGGGGGCCTGCCTCTGCCTCCCAGTGTGTGTTTGGGGCAGCATGTGTAGCTTTTTTTTTTTGCTTTTTGAGAGGTGAGTGGGGAAGTGCTCCCTCTAATGAGCATCTTTAACAAGCCTTCTCCTTAGTTACCCAGCTTACATAAACTTCTTGGTGTCATCTCTTTAAAAACAAACATTTTGAAGGCTTAATCGTACATAGGAAGACTTGGTTTATTTCATCTAGTAGGTATTAAGTCCTGTCTGCCCAGGAGAACAGCAGGAAGGAGCAAGGGGTCTTTCTTTTATCAGGTCTTTGCACCTGCCCAGTCATGGAACTGAGCTGACCACAATACTGCCTGAGTGCGTTCTGCCTGCTGGGTTTAAAGGTGTGCATACAACACGTGGGGCTTACATATTTTAGAGTGGTGGGATCAAACCCAAGTCTATACCTGCTGATGAGCTGAATACAGAAGCAATAATGGACCCATTTAAGAATGGGTCTAATGCCCAGCTGCAGCAATGGTAGCTGCATAGTCCTTTGATCCCAGCACTCAGGAGGGAGTTGGGGACTGTCTGTAAGTTCCAGGACAACAGAGAAATCCTGTCTCCAAGGGGGGGGGAAGACTTGTGTGTAATGTTGGCTGCCTCTATTTAATACCAACACTTGAGAGGCAGAGTCAGGCAGGTCTTGGTGAGTTCAAGACTTCCCTGATCTACAAAGGGAGTTCCAGGACAGGCTCCAAAGCTACAGAGAAATATTGTCTTGAAAACCCTAAAAGAAAGGAAAAGACGGTACTGTTTTATTAATAATCGTCCTGCTGTATGGAATCCCATGTTCCCTTACATTCTTGATTGGCTTGTTTATCTTGGGACCCTTTGAATCATGTAAGTCACCGTAAGGAGTTTGGCTTTTATTGTACTCTTTTATTGATGTGTGTGTGTTTGTGCCACAACCTGTGTGAATATCAGAACTTGAAGTTGATTCTCTTTCCATGTGTCTGGTGAACTGGGTCCTCCTGCTTGGTGGTCCAGCCTGGGAGTAGTTTAAATACGACCTGCTTTTACAGTCTTTACAGAGAACTGGTGCTTTTTTGTTGCTTTGTTTTTGTTTATTTGCGGTTTTTAGGAGGCTCCTCCTCTATAAGCCAGTTAAAATCCAAAAATATGTTTCATGCTGGTAATGGTTTTGGTTTTTTTGAGCTTAATATTCCAAGTTATCTCTTTATACTAATAACCTGTGCTTTTCAGATTCTATAATATCCAAGTGAAAATGGTAACTCAGAATTGATCTTAACTACTCATTGTATGGTATCAAGTAAGGGACTGTTTGGTAGGATTGACAACATGACCTTACAACATAGTCTATTGTTGAGGTGAATGGTCGACATACATGAGTTCAAGTCTTGTCAAGACGGGTGGTTGTGTGGAACTTGGATTATTGGAGCTTAAAAAATATTGCAGGCTTGGCAAGGTTTCAAGGCCTTTGCATTTAATCTCATGTGGTCTTGAGCTGTGGGGCTGTCAAGACTACAGCATAGGCTTTAGGTTTAATTCCTGCTAATGAATGAGGTGTGGTGGCAGGTCTTAGGAATCACTGACTCCTAGTTGGAGTGACTCAGGTTGTCCAGTACCGAGGCTAATTGAGTTGCTGAGGTTGGCTCCTGGTGTATGTTGTGATACCGGTTGTGGATAGTCTGCATTGGCCTGACACAAAGATTACTAAAGTATTCTCTTACTCCTGTTTAGGATAAATCATCAGACAAAAAGGTGCAAACAAAAGGGAAGCGGGGAGCAAAAGGCAAACAGGCCGAAGTGGCCGCCCAGCAAACCACAGACCTGCCTGCAGAGAACGGGGAAACGGAGAACCAGGTGGGTGTGTGCGTGCGCTGATTTGAGCAGCAGATGCTAAATTGGATCTTTCCTGTAGCAGACGGGTTTTTCTGTGTAGTTCTGGCTGTCCTGGGATTCATTCTGTAGGCCGGGCCGTCCTCAAACTCTCAGATCCTCCTGCCTCTGCCTCCTGAGTGCTGGGATTAAAGGTGTATGTGCCACCACCTGGTTCAGATTTTATTTTTTATATATTTTTTTATTTTTGTGAATTGCGGTTTATTCGAATGTGGTGAATTTCAATGTGTAAATAAGAAATTATGCCAATTTCACTGGGAATGGAATGCAGAGGTCATAAAGATTTTCCCAAGTTACTTTGTAAGGCTTTGCTGGAACAAACGTACTAGTGTTCTCTGCCTTACACTGCAGTGGTCTTGTGCTGGGCTCCTTGTTTGCAAATTCTGGGCACAGAAACTATTAGACTCATTTCCCCTGTGACAAAAATGGTAGATTTTAGGCCATGAGGTAGTTGGGCCTGCCTTTAATCCCAACACACTAGAGTAGAGGCAGGTGTATCTCTGAGTTTGAGAAACCCTGTCTCAAAAAACCGAAGGGAAGAAGAAAAAAATCTGGGTTTTGTTTTCATTTTTCTAAAGAATAACTGGTTATCTAGGGCTAAGCGATAACTCAGTCCAGAAAAAAAGGTTGGTTTCAGTCTGTTCATGAGCTGTGAGGAAAAGACTCGGAATGCAATAAAAGGTTTGATAACAGATGATTTTGCCCGTTTTGATTTTCTTCGAGACTGTTTCTCTGTAGCTTTAGAGCCTGTCCTCAAACTTGCTCTGTATACCAGGATGGCCTGGAACTCAGAGATCCACCTGTCTCTGCCTCTCTGAAGTGCTGGGATTAAAGGCATGCACCACCATGGCCCAGCTATTTCGTTCTTTTGAGACAGTCTCTGTGTAGTCTAATCCTGAATTTATCCACCTATCACAGCCTCCAACTGCTGGGATATCAGGAATGAGCCACCATGCCTCCATCTAGCTTTTGTTAAGCGTACAGTCTTTTTTGATTTGTTTTTGGAGACAATTTCTCTGTAGCTTTGGAGGCATGACATTTGCTCTGTAGACCAGGCTGGCCTTGAACCCAGAGATGTTCTTGCCTCTGCCTCCCAAGTGCTGGGATTAAAGGAGTGCACCACCACTGCCTGGTCAAGCGTATAGTTACTTTTCTAACCTTCTGTTACATTTGCTGAGCGTAGGAAGGCAAATTGGAATGTTCAGTTTTGTGTATGCCCAGTGTGCATAGAAGCCAGAGGTCAATGTGGCTGTTATTCTCTATTTTATTTGATTGAGTGCTGAGATTACAGGTGGACTGCAGCACCCATCTGGCATTTGTGTGGGTGCTGAGGATTAGCTCTACCCACCAAGCCAGCCAGCCTCCTGCTAAAATAGTATTGTAGCAGGGTTCTGTGTAGCACTGACTCTCTGTCAGGTATTTGCTTCTCAATTAGAGAGTTTAGCTGGATGGAGGTTCGTAAATCTTTAATCCTAGTTCTTGAGAGGTAGGCCAGACGGGTCTCTGAAGGCAACCTGGCCTACAAATCAATTTCCAGGATAGCTAGGGCTATACAGAGAAACACTGTCTTCAAAAACAAAACAAAAAGATGGCCAGGCATGGTGACACACACCTTCAGTCCCTGTACTCTGGGAGCAGAGGAAGTGCATCTCTGAGTTCGAGGCTAGCCTGATCTACATTCTAAGATACGACTGGGCTATGTGGAGAGACTGTGTCTCTAGAAAGAAAATGGCACGTTTCTAAGTGCACCCATACTGTGTTGAGTAGTGGAGATTGTGGCATATGGCGTACTTGATCTTTGCTTTTCCTGTGGTTTGCAGAGTCCAGCCTCTGAAGCAGAAGAGAAAGAAGCCAAGTCCGACTAACCATCCATCTTGTCTGTCAGTGGTCCCTGCCTCCCTTCTTGTACAATCCAGAGGAATATTTTTATCAACTATTTTGTAAATGCGAGTTTTTTAGTAGCTCTAGAAACATTTTTAAAAGGTGAGAGGAAATCTCACCTCATCCCATTTTTTAAGTGTAAATGATTTTTTTAAGAGGTTAAATCATTTGCTGGTTGTTTATTTTTTGGTACAACCAGAAAATAAAATGCTGAATCAGGAGAGGCTGTGACTGTCTCGGGGGTCACCATAACATTCCGTAGAGGGGGCTAGTTTTATATTCTACAGCATAAAGCATACTAAGTGGTAAATTTGTGTCTGCAATATTTTGAATTGTATCTGGTCTCGTGTTTCTAGTAGAACCGTTTCCTAAAAAACCACTCCTCGGTCCTTGTCCTGTCAGAACTGTCTCTGATGGTCTTGGCCGTCCATTTTCCTACCAGCTGTGATAATGCCTGTGAAAAGTGGACATTCTGAGTATGTACTGTGTGTGTCAGTAAATCGTGAGTCAGTGGGGTTGAGGGTTGGGAGCACTTGAGTGTTACTAGGGAAAACCCGACACGTGTGAGGCCGGAACATGACTGGAATAAGTTCAGAGAGAAACAACACGTGGCTCTTGGGGGTACGTGAACACAGTGTCTGACTCTTCAGAGATGGGGTGCATGTGTTAAGAATTGAAATGTCTCTGTACTCTGCTCCTCAACCAATAAACTTGCAGTTGTGAAAGTGTATTTGAAAGTGCCTGGTCGGTTTAATGGTGTATCCCTGGCTATCCTGGAAGTCACTCTATAGGCCAGGCTGACCTCAAACTCACAGCAATCCGCCTGCCTCTGCCTCTGCCTCCTAGGTGCTGGGGTTAAAGGGATGTGTCCTCACACATGGCCCCTCTAACCCTTGAGACGCATACTTGGTGTGAGGTTATGTGTCTGGAGTGCTAGGGTGTGCAGTTGTGCGCCACCTCTGACTTACTTTACATGTGTTGAACTTGCTGATGACTGGAAACTGGGTTATTGATCAGCTGGGTAGGTCTTGCAAAATAGGCTGGACTCTTTACTAGCCATGGATGACTTTGAATTGGTTTTTCTTGCATTACATGCTGGGGAAGTCCTCTCCTAGTTAAATGTATATTCCTGAGTAAGAACATATAGGAAAATATCTGGGCTGGAACTGCCCAACATCTAAACTGCCCTGGAGTCTCCCCAACACCATGGAATGAATATGGAAAAAATTCTACAGCTGGGTCTAATAGCATCTAGCCTGACTGCCTTAGGGGTTGAGGCTGAAGGATTCCTGAAAGATGAGTTTCTCAGCCAGGGAGTTGTGGGGATCCGAGCCTAGCTCTGCATGCTTCTCATTACACAGCCTTAGCTGTCCTAGAACTTACTATGTACGTAACCCATGCTGTGCCGCTAAAGTGCTGGAATTAAAGGCCTATACATTCAGATGCGATTTAATTTAGGAGGCAATCATGCCCATCTCTGAGCTGCACAGGCACTAGGAATGTACATGGCACACATACATACAGGCAATATGTTAAATGGCTCTTTATTAGATCTTTGCTGTGCCCTAGAGCAGCACAGCACAGGAAGACCTGTGTGTGCAGTCAGCCATCCATCAGCACCACCAGTGTGTCGCTCGAGACGATCTGGAACAACAAAGGGATATAACCCTGACATGTCAAGCACCTTCATCCCAGCACCCAGGAACTACACAAGTCTCGTGCTGTGCTTGTGGCTAAGTATCTGGTAAGCATTTGTCAGTCGGAAAGCGGTGATAAGTATGTTACCTGCTGCTCCATTCCCCAGTACCTGACTGCCACCGAATGTGGCACCATGTGCCACCATGGCAAGAACACGGAGAGGTCGAAGGGCTTCACAGAAGTGGTGGGGCTTGGGGTGACTGCTGTAGTTTGTGTCCCTGATGAGCGGCAAGCTGGGCACTCTAGATCCCTGATGGGTTTTTACTTTGAAACTGTATTGTTGAGAGTTGTCGAACAAGGGGAAAAATGTTTAACCGTTAACCATGTAAGGGGGTCCTTGGAGTGGACCACTCCTGTTCAAGATGCCCATTATCTTGATGGGAAATGGCTTTTGTGGTAGTTTGAATGAGAATGCCGCCTTAAGCTCATGTTTGAATGCATCCCCAGTTGCAGGAACTTGAGAAAGAAGGATTCAGAGGTATGTCACTGGGGAGGGAAACTGAACTTTTAAAACCCCAAGCCCTTGTTCCCAGTTAGAGCCTCTGGCAGAAGACCTGGGTTTAGCTCCCAGCACCCACATGGTGGCCACAGCCATGGGTAAATCCAGCTCCAGGAGATCATAAACTTCTTTTGGAGTCTTTAGATATCAAGCACACAGATGGTACACACACACACACACACACACACACACACACACACACATGAGAAGGCAAAATACTAAAGACAAAAATGTTTTAAATATGCAGGATTGTTGGTACTAGTGAGGTGTTCCAAAAGAAATGTACTTAAGCCTTAACTATTGTTGACTTTTTACTTTCTGCTGCTTATTTGAAACCAATGTGAACTGGATATTAAGTTCAGTGAAGTTAATTGAATGTGTCTGTGTGGTGAAGTGGCCTCAAAGCTGCTGAGGTAAGCCCTCCCCCTTGCCGTGGATGGGTCTTGGTATTAGTCATCATCAAAACGAAACAATTTACAGAGAAAAAGATGCCATGGCCAGAGTGTTTGCTCTAAAAGGAGGTGCGACCTTAAGAAGAGTCACTAGTGGGGTATCTTTCTATCCAAAAATGTTAGGAGTATTTGCTACTCTTGCAAATGACCTGGATTCAGTTCCAAGGATCTGACACTTGGCACACATGTATGGGGCATGCACACACATGCAGACAAAACAATGATACATGAAGAAAATGAAAACTGGCTGGGCGGTGGTGGCTCACACCTTTCACCCAAGCACTGGAGGCAGAGGCAGGTGGGTCTCTGAGCTTACTTTGGGGTCACAGCCAGAGGGTCTGTCCACCCAGACAAGAAAGGCATGGCAGCTGAGCGACTGCTAAAAATAACCCTAACCCTCAAAAGTCTCCCCCAGTGACCCCCCTCCTCCAGCTAGGGTCCAAACACCCCCAAATGGCCTTGCCAGCTGAGAACTGTAGGCCTGTGGGGACATTTAAGTATAACACCAATAGTATGTGTCTAAATCTTGTTGCCTGCATGTGCGTCTACACCACAAGCATGCCTAGCGAGCGCCCTTGGAGGTCAGAAGTGTGCCTGTTCGCTGGAACTGGAGTTACAGTTGTGATCCTCGTGTGAGTGTTGGAAATTAAACCCAGGTCCTCAAGAAACCCCAGTGATTCCTGGCACTCATGTGAGATGGCTTGTCACTGCCTAGAACTCCAGTTCTGGGGGTGAGGGGCGGAGTCTGATGCTTCTGGCCTGCAGGGGCACCTGTTGTACTCATACGCACACAGGTCCACACAGACACATGTAAGTACACATAGTATTAAGTAATGTTTTTTCCAAAGATTCCTCTATCTGTATGTGTTGTTTACATGTGCCTGTATGCATGTACAGAAGCCAGGGAGGATGTCAGGTGCCCTCTGTCATTTCCAACGGTATCTTTGGGATAGAGCTGTGTTGTCTTGGCTGGAAAGCCAGCAAGCCCCAGTGAACCTCTCCAGTCTCTGCCCACATCAGAGCTGGGGCAAAACACCTGGCTTGTCGTGTGGGTGCTGGGACCCAAAACAAACTCCAGTCCTCATGGTTGATCAGCAGCCTCCGAGCCATCTCTGCAGCTCTCAGAACTTTTGATAAAAGCATATGACTAAGAGGAGACTCACCCCGCCACATTCCAAAGTAAAGGGGAATCTCCTTATACCTATAACTCCCTTATAGCAATGAGAAGAAATGACTAATGACACAGGCTCTGCCAAAAACAAACTATAATTAGGGTGACATTTCAGGGCTGTGGAAGATGCTCACTCACCGAAGGTGTTTGCCTCCAAAACCCACATACTAGGAGAAAGCCTATGCCTACAAGTTTTCCTCTGCCCTGCACATGTACTCTGTAGCACACGAACACATACCCCACCCTCCAAAAAATGTAGTAAGATGTTTTCTAAAACTTCCCACTGAAAAGGCCTGGCTTAATGTTACATTCCTGTAATCTCAGCGCTTCGGGAGCTGAGGCGGGAGAATTAGAAATTCAACACTATGGGTCTGGGAGAGATGGCAGTGGTTAAGAGCCCTGGCTGCCCTACCAGCGGTCATGGATTCAATTCCCAGCTCACACGTGGTGACTCACAACAGTCTGTAACTAGTCCCGTGGGATCTCATGCTTCCTTCTGTTGTGTAGACAAAAAGCACCCACTCTTTGTTAACCACCACCACCCCGCACAGGACGCTGCTCAGTGTGGCCGGGGACATGAAGCTGTGCGCCGTGGACATAGCAGCAGTTGGCTTTGGAGACAGCTTCTCCTAATGAGGCCATGTTTCACACAGCCGTGTGCAACCTACTCCCTGTGTACCTGAGTCCAGCCTTTTCTTTCCCCCTTTGAGACCAGGCACCAGCAATCCAGCTGTTTCAACTCCCTAATGGCTGAGGATGACCTTGAACTGCTTCTACCTCTGACGACAGGTGTGTGTCAACATGGCTGGTTCCTATGGTGCCAGGGAATGTTGGAGCACCTCTAGGAAGCGTTCTACCCACTCAATCTCTAGCCCTGACATCTTTCTTGAGACAGGGTTTGTCTGTGGTTTTGGAGCCTGTCCTGGAACTAGCACTAGTAGACCAGGCTGGCCTCGAACTCACAGAGATCCACCTGCCTCTGCCTCCCGAGTACTGGGACTAAAGGCGTGAGCCACCACCACCCGGCAGCCATCTTTCTTAACCCCATATGTAGCCAAGGCTGGCTTTGTATTCCTGATCTTCTTGACTCAACCTGTCCAAATCTGGGGTTCCAGATGTGTACACTGATGTGCCTGGCTGGCGTGCGATGCATGGAGGTGGAAACCATGTGTGCTGATTTATGCTTTTAAAGGCTGCTGAAGCAAATGACCACCACAGTTCTGATTGTGTGATGGTTAACCCTGACTGTCTACTCCACCTGGGAGTCAAGGCTCTGCTGTGTTGTTGTTTTTTGAGACAGGGTTTCTCTCTGTAGCCCTGGCAGTCCTGGAACTCACTCGGTAGACCAAGCTGGCCAGAAACTCGGAGATCCACCTGTTTTTGTCCTGCCTCTGCCTTCTGAGTCCCCGGTATTAAAGTGCACCGCCACAACCAGCGAAGGTGTTGTGGAGAGGCGTTTTAGTTGCTTTTGTGTTAGATTTACTTACTGT